CACGGCGACGGCGGCGGCGCCTTGGCCGCGGCCCGCAGGTCCGCGGCGTCGCGCGAAAACCGCGGCTTGACCAACGCCGCGTCCGCGGCGGCCGCGGCCGCGAGGCCCGCGGCGAGCGCGAGCGCGTCCGGCGCGTGGAAGCAGCCCGGCGCCGCGCCGCCGAGGTCCGAGCCCTCGAAGGTCGGCGCGCGCCGCCGCGCGTCCGGCGACGTCTCGGGCGAGGACGCGCGCCGCGGGTGGAAGACGTCGTCGAGGTCCTTGAGCAGCGCGACGCAGTCCGGCGCGTGGGCGCCCCGCTCGCTCCACTCGAAGCGCCGCTTGTCGACGCCGCGCGCGAAGGCCGCGGCGAGGTGCCAGACCGCGGCGGCGCGCGCGTCGCGGCCCGCGGCGTCGCCGCCGCCGCCGCCGCGCAGGCCCGTCGCGGCCCGCCGGAGCTCGTGCATGAGGTTCGACGGCTGGACGCGCTCGAGGTGCGCCGCCGCCAGCGCGACGGCGCAGTCGACGGCCGCGGCGCTCAGGTCCTCGACGCGCCGCCTGTGTGGAAATCAACCAGTGGAATGGACGCGTCCAGCAAAACTTCAAACCTCTCTATCTCGGTCAAATCGAAGTCGATTCGACTGATTTTTGGACGAATCGATTGCTCTCGTCGAGTTCTCGAAGCACAGCCGAAGAGCTTGCGTCGAAACTGTCGCATACGATCACATTGAATTCGGGTTGAATATTTGAATTCCACACAGCGCGCCGCGAGATCGCCGCTTTCCCGAACTCGGACTTTTTTTCCGAGGCCAGGCGCAGCGCGAAGGCGAGCGCGGCCTCGAAGCGGTCCCGCGCGCTCTCGAGGTCCGCGCTCGCGCAGGCGCGCAGCGCCTCGAAGGGCGCGGGCGCCGCGGCGCCGGCCGGCTCGGAGCCGAAGACCCGGGGCGCGGTCCACGGGTGGTCCGCGGCCCGCTGCGAGCCCCGCCAGCTCTTCGCGCCGTCGAGGAACGACGCGGCCTTCATCTCCTCGAGGGACGCGCGCATGGCGAGGTGGGGCTCGCCCTCGCTGTCCTCGATCTCCGCGAGCAGGTCCAGCGCCGTCGTCGCCAAACCCCGGAGCCGGCCGAGGAGCGACGACCGCGTCGCCGCGTCCAGATCCCCCCCCGCGCCGCCGTCGGCGCCGAGCCGCAGGTGCGCGCGCACGCGGTGGGCGAAGCGCGCGGAGAGCGTGGCCAGCAGCCACTTCCACTGCTTCTTCTTCGCGTCCGCGAGCGCCTGGGCGGGACGAGAGAGATTCGACGTCGCTTCAACGTGAGTGCTCCGAGCGCGCGCGTTCCGGCAAAAGCATCCACGCTTCGAGACCGTTCCGAGAGATGATCGCTCGTCCAAAAAGCAGCCGAAACGAGTGGAAAGCGGCCGAGATCGGAGCCTTTGAAGTTGGGAATTTCCCCGCCCCGGCGAGCGCGTCCAAGTCGTAGAGCCGCAGCCGCTCGTCGGACGCGTCCTTCGCCAACACGTACGTCGCGCCGTCGCGGTCGCAGTGGTCCGCGAGGAAGCGCAGCACGGCCGCGGCGTGGACCTCGACGGACTTGGCGTCGAAGAGCGCGTGGTCGCCGCCGTCGGCGTCCGCGAAGGCCTTGGGGATCTCCGCGGTGTCGAGCACCTTGGCGCCGACGACGACCCCGAAGCGCTCGAGGCAGAGGGCGAGCTTGGGCACGCCGGCGATGACGTTCTCGAGCCAGCCGTCGAGCACGGCCCGCCGCCGCGAGCCGCGCTCGCCGACGTCCTCCGCGCGGATCAGGCGCACGGCCGTGTCCGCGTCGAAGCGGCGGTCCACGAGCGCGTCGCTGCCCGAGAGCACGTCGGCGGCCCCGACGCGCCATCGGCGCACGCGCGCGTAGTCGGGCCAGGGCCGCGCGGCGAGGAGGCCCGCGGGCGCCGCGGCCTCGTCGCCGTACGCGGGGCACAGCGCGGCGTCCGCGAGGGCCTCGACGGCGCGGGCCGCCTCCTCGGAGCGCCGCGCGCCCAGCGACTTCTGCGAGTCCGCGGCCGCGGCGACGATGGCGCGCAGCGCCGCGCGCGTCGACGGCGACGCGCCGCCCGGCTCGAACGCCGCGGCCGCGGCGTCGAGGAGCCGCGGCGGCTCGGCCTTGGCCTCCTCGACGCCGGCGTCCTCCGCGCGCAGGGCGTCGCGGAAGCCGCCGTCCTCGAGGCGCGCCGCGCGGCTCAGCGCCTCGCGGACGCGGCGCCGCCGCGACGACGGCTCCTCGCGCGCGTCGAGCGCCGCCGCCGCCGCGCCCGCGTCCGCGCCGTCGACGACGAGCGTCGAGCCCGCGCGGTGCACGGCGAGCGTCGCGCCGCCGCCGGCGAGCGGCAGCGCGAAGAGCGTCTGGAACGTCCGCGCGTCGCCGACGAACTGGGGCAGCGGCGCCGGCGCCAGGGCCAGCGGCGGGCCGTCGCCGGCGCGCGGGCTCTCGAAGGACACGACGGCCTTGGACGACACGAGGTCGTCGCGCGCCGACCGCATCTGGAGCGCCGACATCGCGAGCGGCTTTGGACGTCGTCGACGCTAGCCGAAGCCGTCGACGATGACCGATGCTCGATCGTTGCTCGAGATCTCCGAGCGCTTCAAGTTGATCTGCAACTTGAGGCCCTTGTGCACAGTTTGTGCACCGATGTGCGCTCCTCAAATGCGCATATAACTCCATGTCGCGCCGCATCGCTCGTCGGTGAAGCCGCATGCGCCGCGCCGTGCGCCGCGGCGCCGCGCTCGCCGCGCTCGCCGTCGCCTGGCGCTTTGGCACCCTCACCCACGCCCTCGGCGGCAGCGAGTGCGTCGTCGACGCGCGCGGCGCCGTCGCCGCGCGGCGCCTGGACCTGGGCGCGCGCGCCTGGCTCGAGGCCGCGCCGCCGCGGCCCTACACGGTCCTGCGCTGCGGCCTCGGGCCGCGCGGGCCGTCGGCCGTCGCGTGGCCGCGCCACCGCGCGCGCCTCGCCGCGGGCGCCGCGGCGCTCCACGGCGGCGCGGCGCCCGACGAGGCGGCGCTCGTCGCCGCCGTCGTCGGCGCCGCGCGGCCGCTCTACGCCGAGGGCGGCGCGGCGGCCGCGGCCGTGTGCGTCGCCGTCGCGCGCGACGGAAGCGTCGCCGCGCTCGCGGCGCCCGCGGCGCCGGCCCGGGCCGCGGCGAAGCGCGCGGCCGTCGACGCCACGGGGGCGTGCCGCCCGCGGCCGAACGTCAAGGACAGCGCCTGGTGCGCCACGCGGCGGCCCGCGGAGGCCGCGGCGCCGGGCTTCGACGAGGTCCTCCTGGCGGACGGCGACGCGCTGCTCGAGGGGCTCACGTCGAACCTGTTCGTCCTCGACGCCGCGGGCGCGACGCTCCGCACGGCGCCCGCGGCGCGGGTCCTGCCGGGCGTCGGCCGCCAGCTCGCGATGGCCGCGGCGGCCGGCGCCGGGGTTGAGGTCGTCTAGGAGGCGCCGGCCTGTGTGGAAATATTCAACTCGACTTCAATGCGAGCGATCGACGGATTGCGCCGGACTCTTCGGCTCTGCTTCGAGAACTCGACGAGAGCAATCGATCCGTCCAAAAATCAGCCGAATCGACGTCGATTTGACCGAGATAGAGAGTTCTGAAGTTTGGCCCCGACGTCCCAGCTCACTGGTTGATTTCCACACAGGCGCCGGCCCTCGGCGACCTCGGCGCGAGCGCGGGCGCCTTCCTCGCCAACGCCAACGGCTTCGCGCGCCTCCGCGAGGTCGTCGGAAAAGAAGGGGAAACGGTCCACGCGGCGGCCGACGGCGGCGCCGCGGTCGCCGCGGTCCTCGACGCCGCCGTGGCCCTGGCGGCGTCGCCGGCCTGGCGGACGGAGTGGGACTGGGACTAAGGGCGGTGTCCCATGTGTGCGTCGCAGGCGGGCGTGCGCGCCGCGCGGCGGTTTTGAGGCTTGGTTTTCAGACACTGGCCTCGCCGACGCAGCCGCTGCGGCCTCGGGAGATCTCGAGCCGTCCTCGCCGTCAAAGCTGTGCGCCGTCGCGTCGCGCAGCGCCCGGAGTCCATGTCGGAAGCAGGCAAGCCCGAGGGCCGCGGTCGCGGCAAGGCGTCCAAGGGCGAGGGCCGCGGCCGCGGCGGGCGCGGCGGGCGGGGCAAGGGCCGGGGCAAGGGCCGCGGGTCCGAGGGCAAGGGCGCCAAGGGCGGCGAGGCCAAGGCCGGCGACGGCGGCGACGACTTCGAGAAGCCGAAGCGGCGCCGCCCGAAGCGCGACAACGACGAGAACGCCGACGCCAACGGGTCCGGCCCGGGCGCCTTCGCGACCGTCGCCGTCGGCAACCTGTCGTTCGAGACGAAGCGGTTCGACTTCAAGGAGCACGTCAAGGGCGCCGTGGCCGGCGGCTTCGGCCGCGTCGACGTCGCGACGCGCGCCGACGGCCGCAGCCTCGGCCGGGGCACCGTGACCTTCCGCGTCAAGGCCGACGCGGACGCGGCGGCGGCGAAATTGGACGGATCCGAGCTCGACGGCCGGAAGCTCAGCGCGCGGGTCCTGGGCCCCGGCGCCAGGGGCGGGCCGGCGCCCAAGGCCAAGGCGCCGCCCAAGGGCGAGGGCTCCGGGGCGAAGAAGCCCGAGGGGCCCCGCGGTGCGCCCGCGCCGCGCGCGGCGGCGCCCGCGGCCAAGGCCGCGGCGCCCAAGCCCGCGCCCAAGCCCGCGCCCGCGGCGCCCAAGGCCCCGACGATCCAGACCAAGGGGCCCATGGCCGGCAAGCCCACCTGGGCCTCCATGGCGCGCAAGGCCAACGCGCCGCCGCCGCCGCCGCCCGCGCCCGCGCCGCCGCCGCCCGCGCCGCCCGCGGCCGCGCCGCCGCCGCGCGCGGCCGCGCCCGCGCCCCGGGCGCCGCCCCAGCCCCGGGCGCCCGCGCCGCGCCGCGCGCCGCCCGCGCCCGCGCCCGCGCCGCCGCCGCAGCCCCGCGCGCCGCCGCCGCCGCAGCAGCGCGACCCGCGCCTCGACGTGCGCCGCGCGCCGCCGGCCGCGCCCGGCGGCTACAACCCCTTCGGCAAGCCCACGGTCTACGGCGGCCAGTCGAACCTCGGCCTCGTGCCCGAGAGCTACCTCAAGGAAACCAGCGACATCCCGCTCTCCGAGCTCGAGGGCGTCGTCTCCAAGCACTGAGCGCCGCGCGGAGCCCCCCACGTTTTTTGGGCGCTCCCCCTGCCGGGGGGCCCGCGCGCGCGAGCCGCCGGCGCTCACGAGTAAGATTAGCACGTCGCGGCGTCCGCGGCGCGGCCCGGGCTTTCAAAGGCTTTCGGGGCCCGGGCCCGGGACTAAAGCTTGGCCCCGAACGGGAGCATTGTCAACTTCATCAATTCATGCCGGGTTAATATTAACGAACGGAAACAAAACGAAACTGCTGGCTGTGCACCATTGCCATCCATCCCATCGATGCCCACCGCGAGCAGCGCTGAACACTGAAACTGCTTAGGCTGTGCACCACCGCCCGTTTTCATCCACCCACCACCGATGCCCATCCACCGCGAGCCGCGCTGCGCGGTCTGCTGGCCGACGATACCGGCGACCTTCGAGGGCGCCGGCGGCGCGAAGCTCTTCGTCGATTCCGTGGCCACGCAGTGCGCGTCCGGCGACGCCCAGGGCAACATCCTCTCGTCCGAGGTCCTGCCGCTGACGCTCGCGGCGCGCGGCGTCCCCGAGGAGGCCTGGGACGCCCTCGTCGGCGATCTCCGGGAGCTGCCGCCGATCGGGCTCGCGCCGGGCGAGTGCCGGGCGTGCCTGTGCGCGCTCCCGGCCTTCCTCGTCTACTCGTTCACCGGCCTGCCCTGCCTGCCGGGCTACGCGATGCGGCCGCGCCAGTGGCGCGAGCGCGCGGCCGCCGTCGCCCTGAAGCATACGCCCGCCTTCGGCGTCCACGGCGTGTCGCTCCGGGCGACGGTCGCGGAGGACGGGACGTCGGGCTGGGCGTTCGGCCGTTTCCCGTGGCGCGGCTCGTGCGTCGAGTTCGAGTGGGAGCCCCCGGCGACGGCGATCGTGCCCCACGACGGCCGCGCGGGCGACCCCGAGTGGCGCGCCGCGGCGCTCCAGCCGGCGGACGCGCGGTGCGTCCGCGTGCCCGTGCCGCCGGAGGCGCGGCCGGGCTCGCGGCTCCAGGCGTCGACGCCGACGGGCGAGATCTTCTTCCTCCAGGTCCCGCACCCGAAGCCGCCCCTGCTCTGCGTGCAGGTGCCGACACCGGGGGACCTCGAGCTGACGCGGCGGCGCGTCGACCCGGCCGCGATGTGCGCGGCGGGCGTCGGCGTGCCGACGCTGAACCAGCTCGCCGCGGGCCGGAGCGCGGCCGCGCCCGGTGGCCTCGAGATGGGCCGGCCGCCCGTCGGCGCCGTCGTCGGCGTGCCGGGCGGGGAGGCCGCCGCCGCCGCCGCCGCGGGCCCGCCGGCCGCGGCCGCGAGCGCCGCCGCCGTGCGGCGGAACAGCGCGCAGGTCGACCTCGAGACGGCGACGGTGCAGCGCGTGTCCATCTCCGGCGACGACCGGGGCTGGCAGGACTACGCGGCGGACGCCGTCGAGTTCGCGGCCAAGGCGAGCGCGGGCGTCGCCGCCGCGAGCGCGGCCGTCGAGGGCGCCTCGGGCGCGGCCGTCGGCGCCGTCGGCGCGGCGCAGACCGCGGGCGCCGCCGCCGCGACGGTGAGCGCCGCGGCCGCGTCCGCGCCGATGATGTGCGCCGCCGCGGGCGCCGTCGGCGCCGCGGCCGTCACGGGCGTGGCCGTGCGCTACGGCATCGACCACCAGGCCAGCATCAAAGCCAAGGTCTCGCCCTGGCGCCTCTTCCGGCGGGCGAGCGAAGCGCCGGAGCCGGCGGCGCCGCCGGAGGAGCCGGCGACGACCGCGCCGGTCTAGGCGCGCGGCGGCCCGCCGGCGGGACCGCGAGGCCAATCTAGAAAAGAGTCCCTCCCCGCCGTTTAGACGCGCCGCTTCTTCGCCGCGGGCTCGCCGCCGAAGTCCGGCGGCGCGGGGCTCACGAGCTCCACGCGGATCGAGCCGACGTCCTCCGCCGCGGACGCCGGCGGCGCGACGAAGATGTCGACCTCGACGGCGTCGAAGACGCGGAGCGCGACGGCGGCGCCGCCCGGGTCCGTCCACGCGAGCGCGAGGTCGTCGGCGTCGTCGGCGCGGACGACCTTCTCGAGCGCGGCGTCGTCGACGGCCTTGGGCGCGAGGTAGAGCGTGGCCTCGATGCCGTAGCGCGGCACGAGCACGTCGATCTTCCGCGGCGACAGGCTCAGCACGCGCGCGGCGACCTTGGCCTGCGGCTTGTCCTTGAAGAAGAGCCGCGTGTAGAGCGCGATGGACTCGCGGCTCGCGACCTGCGCGTTCTTGTTCCGCCGGTTCAGGTTCGCGCAGACCCGGGCGAGCTCGGGCTTCGCGTCGCCGCGGCCGAGCGCCGGCGGCAGCGGCGAGAAGCCCACGGCCGCGGCGAGGAGGCGGTGCGCGACGACGTCCGCGTAGCGCCGGATGGGCGACGTGAAGTGCGTGTAGACGGCCGCGGCGAGGCCGTAGTGGACGTAGTCCGGCGCGTCCTTGTCGTTGGAGCAAAAGTACTTGGCCGGGGCCATGCAGCGCGTGGTGAGGATGCGCGCGAGCTGGTTGAAGTAGGCGTCGTCGGGCTTGGCCGCGGCGTCGAGCGAGTCCGCGAGGGTCTTGGACGTGGCCACGTCGAGGTCGAAGCCGTGCGCGGCGAGCATGGCCTGGAGCCGTTCGAAGCGCTCGGGCGGCGGCGCCGGGTGGTGGCGGAGGATCGTGAGCGCGGGGTACTTCTTCAAAAGGAACTTGGCGACCTCGACGTTCGCGAGGAGCATGAACTCCTCGACGGTCGAGTTCGCCTCGACGAGCTGGTAGGCCCCGACGTCCGTCGGCGAGTCGGACTCGTTGCTCAGCATGAACTTGACCTCCGGCGACGCGAGCGTCAGGGCCCCCGCGGCCATGCGCTTCGCGCGCAACGCGCGGCCGAGCTTCGCCAGGCGCCGCACGGACGCCGCCACGGGGCCGGAGTCGTGCGCGCCGTCGGCGTCGTCGATGAAGACCTGGGCCTGGTGGTACGTCAGCGCCGCGCGGCTTTTGATGACCGTCTTCGCAAACTCCGCGGCGACGACGTCGCCCGCGGGCGTGAGCTCCATCAACGCGGAGAACGCCAGCCGCTCGACGCCCCCGCGCAGCGAGCACAGGTTCGCCGTCAACAGGATGGGCAGCATGTCGAGGCGCCGGTCCACGAGGTACGTCGACGTGCCGCGCTTCGCCGCCTCGAGGTCGAGCGGCGAGCCCGACGCGACAAAGTGCGTCACGTCCGCGATGTGGACGCCGACCTGGTAGTTGCCGTTGGCCAGCGGGCCGACGCAGTGCAGCGCGTCGTCGATGTCGCGGCAGCCCGGCGGGTCGATGGAGCAGACGTCGAGCGCGCGCAGGTCCATGCGCCGCGCGACCTCTTCCTGCGTAATCACGAAGGCCTCGCCCTCGGGCGGCAGGCACGCGAGCACGGCCGTCGAGAACGGCGCCGTCGCGACCTCGAGCTCCTGCAGGATCAGCGCCGTCTCGACGGCCTTGTCGCCCCGCTTGCCGAGCGTCGACACGTAGTGGCCCCGCGGGTAGCGCTCGTCGTCGGCCCACGCGTCGACGGCGACGACGACGCGCATGCCCGCGAGCCGCGCGAGCTGCCGCGTCTCGACGCGCACCTTCGGGAAGCGCCGGTCCACGGGCACGAAGAGCACCGACTGCGCCCGCGTCGCGTGGACGTCGCCCGTGGCCTCGTCGAGCGACCCGCACAACTGCCGCGGCTCGCGCTTGAGCACGCCGACGACGTGGCCGGCGACCTCGGACGCGGGCGGCGCCTCGCCGTCGCCGCAGTCCGCCGCGAGCGTCGCGCCGGCGGCGGCCGCGTCCGCGTCCTCGGGCTCCGGCGCGGCGCCGAGGGCCGGCGGCGCGCCGAGGCGCACGCAGACGTGGTCGCCGTCGAGCGCGCGATTGACCGCGGCGCCGCCGTCGACGGCGCAGCGCGCGCCGTCCTTCAGGGCGACGCTCCCGTGCCAGCTGGAGCCGCGGGACGCGCGGAAGACGCCCTCGACGAGGTCGCCCGCGGCGACGCCCCGGAGCAGCTCCGACATGGGCGCGTGCGGGCCGTAGAGCTTGGGCCGCGGCGCGGACCGGTCCGCGCGCGGCGCGGCCGCGGACCGGTCCGCGACGAGGTCCGCGAGGGCCGGCGCGTGGCCCGCGAGCTCCGCCGTCGCGAGCGCGTAGAGGCGCTCTTTGATACCGAGCGCGCGGCACGCGGCGTCGTCCGTCACCAGCACGACGCCCGCGAAGCGCCGCGGGTCGCCGTCCGCGCCGCAGATCGCCGCGAAGGTCGCCGCGACGCTGCGGATGGCCCGGTCGTTGGCGTCGTTCGGCGACTCGCGGGGCCCGCGCGCGGGCGCGCAGCCCGCGACGTGCTCGTTCGCGAAGAGCACGACGTCCCGCCTCTCGTCGGCGAGCAGCGCGCCTACGGAAAAGGTGTCCCGCCGCGCCTTTCCGCGGCGCCCGGGCCGGGCTCGCCGGATCCGCCGCGGCTGTATTGCGGCGGGCGCGCGGCCGTCGACCGCGCGCGCTTCGTTCGCTCTCGGGCCGAAGTTACAGCGGGCGTCGACGTTTTCCGACGCGCGCCGTGATATGACGGCCCTTTGTTTTTTTTCCCAAAAAAAGGCGCCGCGGCGCACACAGCCGCCGGAAGAGCTGGCGGTCGTTGTGCTTCACCTCCTCGGCCACGGTCTGGCAGATGATGAGCCGGTCGAGGAGCGTCGCGTCGACTCCGCCGTGCTCCAGCACGTCCATCTGGTGGAGCACGACGTTCGTGTCCGGCACGACCCAGCCGCAGGGCTCGCCGGCCCGCCGGGCGGCCTCCGCCGTCGACGCGATGAAGGCCGCGTCGACGGGCGCGCCGCGCAGCAGGCCGCAGCCCACGTCGTCGCGCACGTACTTCTCGGCCACCTCCTTGCGGACGGCGCCGCGCCGCGTCTTGCGCGCGTACGTGACGATTGCGGCGTCCATGCCTCTCAAGCACTCGAGAGCTCAGCCACCATCGCCTCTCCGCGGCTTGACCGGGGGTCGATCGCACAAAACGCCGGACGCCCGCCGTCTTAGGAGAACTCGACGCTCTCGACGAGGGAGGGCGCGCTGAGCGACGAGTCGTGGGCGAGGACCCAGCACGACTCGGCCTGGAGCGAGTTGACGTGCGTGGAGAGGCCCCGGCTCTGGTCCCGCGCGGGCGCGCGGCGCGCCTTCTCCGCGCGGAGCTTGAGCCGCTTCGCCGCGGCGTCCGCGGCGGCCGCCGCGCGCGCCGCGTCGGCCTCCGCGGCCTGGAGCAGCTCGCGGACCATGGAGTAGCGGTTCGGCGGCTGGACGAGCTCCGACGCTAAAAGGTCGCTCGGCGTCCGCGCGGCGCAGTCCGCGCCCGCCTCGATGAGCATGCGCGCGACGAGGATGTGGCAGCGCCGCGCGGCGCAGTGGAGGGGCGTCTCGTCGAGCGACACGTCGCGCGCCGAGACGTCGGCGCCCGCGGCGACGAGCGCCTCGACGCGGTCCGGGAGGCCGATGCGACACGCCGCGTGCAGGCCCCGGGGCCCCGTCGCGCGCGGCGGCGCGTCCGGGGCCTCCTTTGGCGCCGACGCCGCCGACTCGAGCGACGCCGCCGGGCCCACCGTCGCCGTCGCCGCCGTCGACAGGGCCGACGTCGTCGAGCTCACGGACAGCGCCTTCAGCTTGCCCCCGCGCGGCTTGCGCTTCTTCTTCCGCACGGGCTTGACCTGCGTGCTCCACCAGAGGCCGCCGGGCGTCATGGCCATCATGCGCGACGGCTCCTTGAGGCGCATGGGGGGCGCCGTGCGGCTCATGTGTAATTGCGACATTGCCGGGCGCTAGTCGGATACGGCGGCGGCATTGCCGTGCAACCCTGTATCATTGAGTCGTTTCTCACGAGAGAGCATGGACTTCGACGCCCCGCCGCGCGCGGGGCTGCCGTCCCACGAGTCGGCGAAGGAGGCCGCCGTGCGCCCGCCGGAGCGCGCGCCGAGCTCGCGCAACGGCGGCCGGCGGGGCAGGCACCTCCGGCCGCCGCCCCTCTTCGACGTCGCCGGCGTCCTCGCCAACGACGGCAGCGGCACGATCCTGCTCGACCTCCTGCCCAAGTCCGCGCCCGCCAAGGGCCGCACCTGGCGCGCCGCGCGCACGCGGCGGAGCCTCGCCCAGGCCGGCGACCGCGCGGCCGGCGCGCCGTCGCCGCGCGGCGCGGCGCAGGAGCCGCCGATCGACGCCGAGGACGGCGCCGCGGGCGTGTCGCGCATGCTCGTGTCGACCTACCTGGGCGGCGCGGCGCCCGAGGAGCCGCGGCCGCGCTTCGAGGACTTCGACGAGCCCGCGGGCGCGGCCGTCGACTTCTACGACGACGGCGGCGCCGCGGCGCCGCCGCCGGAGCGCGCGCCGGCGGCCGCGCCGGCCGCGGTCCAGGAGACGTCGGACATCCACAACGACGCCCTCGCGCGCTTCGGCATCAAGACGGGCGACGACGCCATCAACTTCTTCTCGTCCCAGTCCGGGTCGCAGTCGTCGATCAAGTTCGTGCACCTCATGCAGGTCGACGCGGTGCCCGACGCGTTCCTCCAGCTCGGCGACGGCGAAATGCGGCCGAGCTCGACGTCCTTCCGGCCCTACGACCTCCTCGCCGTGCGCGTGCCGGGCGCGACGCTCGCGCGGACGCGGTGCGACTACTTCACGATGAGCTCGGAAGGCCTCGTCCACATGGAGCCGGGCCACCCGTCCGAGTTCATCCCGCTGACGCAGTGGATGCGCGACGCGGCCTGCTTCAACATGCTCACGTCCATCCCCTACTTCCGCAACTACCTCCGGAACAAGTGCTTCAACGCGTGGCGGTCGAACGTGAGCTTCCTGCTCTACAGCCGGCAGCGGCGCTACCTCATGGACCGCCTCTTCCTGGGCATGACGTCCTTCTGCGGGCCCCTGCTGGACCTGCGGACGCACATGCACGAGATGCAGCAGACGCGGCTTTTGGAGCCGGGCTCTCGGACGTTCGAGTCAGTGCGAAATTCCCAACTTCAAAGGCTCCTATCTCGGCCATTTTCCACTCGTTTCGGCTGATTTTTGGACGAGCGATCATCTCTCGGAACGGTCTCGAAGCGTGCATGCTTTTTCCGGAACGCGCGCGCGCGGAACACTCCCGTTGAAGCGACGTTGAATCACCCTTTTCCCGCCCAGGTTCGAGTGCGCGACGTTCGTCGACCGGCAGACCGCCGCGCGGCAGGAGGCGTCGAAGCAGCTCGACCACTGCATGGAGCAGGCGGCGTCCTCGGTCCACGCCGTGTGCAAGGACATCGTCACGCTCGCGAAGCCGTCGAAGGGCGGCCTCGGCGCCGCGGCGGCCGCGGCGGCGCCGCCGCCGGCCGACGCCAAGGGCGGCAAGGGCGACGACGTCGACGTCGTGTCGCGCGTCATCCAGCAGATGGAGGACCTGGAGAAGCCCAAGTCCATGGCGGCGCTGCGCGAGCAGGAGGTCGAGCGCCACGCGAAGCTCCGGCGCGCCGCGCACGAGTGCCACCTGCTGCCCGAGTTCGTGCGCCTCGCGGACTACGTCGCCGTCGAGGCGCTCGTGGAGCTGCTCATCAAGACCTGGGCGGGCTTCCTCGCGGAATTACTGAGACCGCGGCGCCAGTCGGGGCTGCTGGAGACGACGATCCGCTTCTCCGAGGAGGGCTCGACGTTCAGCCCGACGTGCGGCGCGATCCAGACGGTGCTCGCCAACACCGCGGACAGCCTCATCGCGACGCTCGGCGGCGTCATGCGCATCCTGTACCTGCGGCCCCTGGCCAAGTACATCCCGTCGTCGTCGACGCCCAAGTCGTCGCCGAACGTGCAGGAGATCGTCCGGAACAACGGCGACTTCAAGGCGACGTGCTTCGCGATCAACGCCAAGGTCGAGAGCGACTTCAAGAAGGCCCAGGAGTACGTCGACGCGGCCTTCGACAAGGTCTGGCCCATCTACGAGTACTCGCGGCGCTGGGACTTCGACGCGTACAAGCGCCAGGCGCACACCGTCGCGTCGCTGAAGAAGGAGATGGAGAAGGTCGCGTCGTGGGAGAAGGAGCTCGAGAAGATGCGCACGCGCCAGACCTGCGGCATGCTCGAGGTCGAGAGCCGCAAGCTGCGGCAGACGCTCATCCCCATGACGACGGAGAAGATGGAGGCTTTGAAGGACCTCGTCAAGGACCTGTCGCGCGCGAAATGCAAGGACCAGCGCAACAAGTACAAGTCCGCCGTGTCCAAGATCACGCCGCGGCCCATGCACCTCAACGGCTTCACGGTCCTGCTCGAGCGCGTCGACGAGCAGCGCGTCCAGGCGCGGTCGCTCTTCAAGCACACGCAGATCGTCGAGCAGATGTACCAGATGCTCAGCCACTACGACGTCAAGATCCCCGACACGGACCTGGTCCAGGTCGACGAGCTCCGGTCCATCCAGGCCAAGTACGCCGAGGAGCTCGAGGCCTGCCAGGCCTTCCGCGACGAGCGGCTCGCGGAGATGACGCTCCAGCTCGAGGCGAACGTCGGCAAGTTCGCGGAGCAGGTCGCGCACATCACGGCGGATTTGGACGCGGGCCTCTTCATCGACGTCGCGAACTTCGACATGCCCGAGACCGTGCTCCAGGAGCTCGAGGCCGTGCGCGCGAAGCTCGAGAACCTCATCCAGTCGGACCTGCTCCACAAGAAGCAGCAGAAGCTCTTCGGCGTCGCGGAGACGCGCGACAAGGCGCTGGAGAAGACGCAGGAGGCCTTCGACCGCGTGCGCACGCTCTGGACCATGGTCGAGCGCTGGGACGAGGACTACCACTCCTGGATCCGCGACGACTTTTTGAGCCAGAACGCGAACTCGGTCGACCGCGACGTCAAGCTCTACGTCCGCGGCGCGTCGAACCTGAAGAAGAAGATGGCCAACCCCATCATCGACAAGCTCTGGGACCTGACGAACGCCATGAACGACAAGATGCCCCTCGTCCGCGAGCTCGGCGACCCGGCGCTGCGCGGCGCGGAACTCGACCGCCGGAACGCCCCGTCCGGCCAGAACTTCACGACTCTCGAGCTCGGTCCCGTCGACGTCGATTCGGCCGATGTTTGGACGAATCGATCGCTCTCGTCGAGTGCTCGACGCACGGCCGAAGAGCTCGCGTCGAACCCGTCGCACGCGCGCACGTTGAAGTCGGGTCGAAGACGCGAGTTCCGCGCAGGCGCTGCAGCACGACCACTGGGCGGTCATCTTCAAGGAGCTCGGCGAGCCGTGCCCGCTGGACCTGAACTTCACGCTGGACCAGCTCTTCCGCGCGGGGCTCCTGGACCACCGGGACTTCATCCTCGACGTCTGCGCCGAGGCGAAGAAGACGGCGACGCGCGCGGAGCAGAGCAGGAAAAAAGAGTGCGAAATTCCCAACTTCAATGGCTCCTATCTCGGCCGATTTCCACTCGTTTCGGCTGATTTTTGGACGAGCGATTATCTCTTGGAACGGTCTCGAAGCGTGAATGCTTTTTCCGGAACGCGCGCGCGCGGAACACTCACGTTGAAGCGACGTTGAATCACCCTTTTCCTGCCCAGGCGCGGAGGTCGCGGCGTGCCTCGAGGACATCGTCGACAAGATCGAGGGCCGCGGGTCGCGCGACAACTCGGACGACGACGACGACTACGACGACGACGACGACGACGACGAGGACTACGACGACGACGACGAGGAGGAGGAGGAGGAGTACGACGACGACGACGGCGGCGGCGGCGGCGGCGGCGGCGCGCCCGCGGGGCGCGCGTCCGTCCGCAAGTCCGTCCGCAAGTCCGTCCGCACGACGGGCCGGCAGCACGGCACGGCGCGCGCCAAGAAGAGCGCGGGGAACTAAGGGCTTTTCCGTCGAGACTCCCGGACTACCTTAGCAGACGCGAAAGCGGCACGAAGGGCCAAGGCCGTTCGTCGTAACGCAGTACTTGCTTTCGAAATGCTCCCAGTCTGCTTCGGGGTCTGTTTCGGGGTGACCCGTCCAGACGAAGCAATTGCTGCCCGGCGCGCGCCGATATTCGCGCCCGCAGAGAGGTAGCACTGGAAAGCAGCACTGGAAGTCGCGGGCGTACCTGGCGAGTCGGGGGTCGCCGCGACGCGCGGCGAGCGGACGCCGGCGCCCGAAGCACGTGTCCGCGTCGACCGCGCGGAGGCCTCCGCACCATGGCAAGCCAAGCACGCACCCGACCCAGATGCCCTGCAGGTCGCCGGGCGAGATGAGGCCGCCGCGCGCCATGGTGCAGCCGCCCGGCAGCTGCACCATGGCGCCGCGCGCCATGGCCGCTGCGCCCGGCGCGGCGGATGAGGCTGGCTGGGCGGCGAACGGCCATGGCGCGGATGAGGAGCCTGCTTGCTGCTGGGCCTCGACGGGGGCCGGCGTTTCCAAGATGGTGCCTTGCACTACGGCAGGCTGCGCCAGGCCCAGAAGCTTGGCCTTGGCCGTCGAGAACTCCTCGTCTGTGAGGAAGCCCTGTTGCTTCAGGTCGGCGAGCTTCCTCAATTCGTCCGCCTCGGAGATGGTGCCGTCATTGAGCGTGCCGCCACCTTCCTCCGGCGCGACGCTTTGGGGGTCCATGGCTTCCAGGGGGATCCGGCAATGCACTGCGGCAGGGGAGCGCTGTGCCGGGCTGCCTCCCTGAAACTACCGTACCTGTGAAGGCGACGCCCGCGGGCTGCGTTCAGGGCTGCGACGGCGGGAAATGCCCAATACTACTGCACAATGCTGCACCCTCCTGCAACGAATTTTCCTCATCTTCAAGTTGAAACAAACGTCTACTAGTAGACGTTCGCAAGCTCCTACTCAGCTTACTCCGCCGAGAGCCACTTGTCCGGCACGGGCGCGGGCGCGGGCGGCAGGACGCCGTCCGCCCGGCCTCGACGGGTCGCCCACGGACCCAGACGGACCCGGAGACACAAAGGCGCGCGCGGCGGGAGGCTTAACGGGCCGCGCGACCCCGTAGGTTAGGCCCCATAGGGCCTGATCCAGGAGTCACCCACGCTCGCGTTAGGTCGCGGTCGCCGCGCGCGCCCGGGGGAAGTAGGCGTCGATGGGCCGCTGCGTCGGCGCGGCGACGGCCGGCGGCGCGCAGGGCCGCGCGTCGGGCCAGAAGAGCGCGCCGGGCGGCGGCCAGTCGCGGAGCAGGAGCACGTCGTCGTCGAGGTCCTGGAGCTCGTCGCAGAAGCCGAACCAGTAGACGACGGCGCCCGCGCCCAGCCGGTTCACGTAGCCGAGGAGCTGGGCGCGGTGGTCGCCGCCGTACGCCGCCGGCGACCCGAACATGGCCTTGGAGTCGACCCAGTTGACGACCTGGGCAGGAAAAGGGTGATTCAAGTTCTCTTCAACATGAGTGTTCCGCGCGCGCGCGTTCCGGAAAAATCATCTATGCTTCGAGACCGTGCCGAGAGATGATCGCTCGTCCAAAAACCAGCCGAAACGAGTGGAAAACGGCCGAGATCGGAGCCTTTGAAGTTGAGAATTTCGCTCTCTTTTCCTGCCCTGTTGACGACGCTGAGCCGCGGCCGCGCGTCGTCGGGCCGCGGCGGCCGCAGGAAGCCCAGGGGCACGACGAGGTGCACGTCCGGCGTCTTCGAGAAGCCCCGCCCCCGCAGGTCGTCCTCGTGCTCGAAGGGCGCGCCGACGCGCTCCAACGCGCCGCGCAGGAGCATCTCGTACTCGACGCCGACGGCGCGGCGCGCGGCGTCGTGGCGCGGCGCGCAGTGGGCGTCGGTCGCCGCGCAGGCCTCGACGTCGCGGCGCAGGCGCGCGTCCGCGATGCGCGCCGGCGCGCGCACGACGTCGCCGACGTCCGCGCGGCGGAGCCCCAAGACGCCCTCGACGACGAGGCGCGCGACGAGGAACGGCGGGAAGCCGACGCGCGACGCGATGGCCGGGAGGGACTCGCCTCCGGCCCAGGCCGCGGCGTACTCGCCGGCGCGCTCGCGGTGGCCGTGGGCGCTCTTGCGCACGCGGGCGCTGTGCATCTGGTGCCAGAGGCTGCTCAGCGCCTCGTAGGGCACGCCCAACGACCGCGCGAGCGCCGGCGCGAGGGGCGCGTCGCCCGGCGCGGCCTCGCAGGCGGCGCAGGCCGAGTCGTAGAGCGCGCGGCTCCAGCCGGCGTCGCAGGGCGCGGGCGCGGCCATGCCTCGGCAGGCAAGGTCGACCCGGCACGCTTGTTTGAACGCTTGTGGCAATTGATCGGGCAGAAGGCATCGACTATGGCGCGAATCTTGCTGCTCGTCCTCGCCGCCGCGAGCGCTCTCCGGGCGCCGCAGCCGCTGCGCGTCGTCGGTCGCCCCTTGCGCGCCGCGCCGCCGGGCCTGAGCTCCAGGGACGTGGCGCAAGTCGTCTCGACGCCGCCGGCGGCCATTGCGAAGCGCCTCGCGCAGCGGAAGACGCAGGAGACCGCGCGGATCCTCCAGTCGAAGCGGCGCGCCGCGGAGACGCTCCTCGACGCGGCGCTCGCCCGGAGCCGCGTCGTCGCGCGCGCGCCCGCCGTCGTCGAGCCGGAAGTCGCCGCTGTCGCTGCTTCGCTCCTCGCCGCGGGCGCGCTCCTCGCCGCGCCCGTCGTCGCGAAGACCGCGTCGCTGGCGGCTATCGCCGCGGGCGCGTACGCCCTCGCGGTCGGGGCGCTGCGCCCGAACTCGCGCGCGGCCGCGCGGCTCCGGCGCCTCGGGAAACCGCTCGTCGCGCGCCGCGCGGCCCCCGCGCCGCCCTGCGACCACGTCATGGGCTGCTAAGGTAGCGGCTTAGTCACGCCCAGGCGTCGTCCGCGTCGCCGTCGTCGTCGCTGTCGACCATCCACGCGAGGACGTCGTCGTTCGCCTCCGCCGCGTCCGCGAACATGAGCCGCATACCCGGCGGCGCCACGGGCAGGTCCTCGTGCTCGTCGTCGTCGCGGGCCCGCTTCCGCGCCTTGCCCCGCGAGGAGCCGTGCGGGTTCGCGGCGTCGTCCGGCACCTCGAGGTAGTGGACCAATTTGAGGTTGTGGAGCTCGCGCGCGTCGTACTGGTCGCCGTGGCCCCGCCCCGACCGGCCCCGGTCCACGGCCGTGACCAGGTGGTAGACGCGGCGCACGAGCCGCGGGCCCGCGGCGCCCCGGCGCCGCCGCTCGCGCGCGTAGCCGAAGCTCAGGCGCATCTCGCCGTCGACCTGGAGCTGGCCGTGGGCCTGGTCCTCCCACCGCTCCCAGGTCGCGCCGTCGTTGTTCTTGAGGTAGTGGAGGTGCGTCCGCCGGTCGAGCACCCGGAGGTCGCCCGAGTTGGGCCGCGCGGGCGCGAGCCGCGCGCTCTCCGGAGGCACGTAGTCGCGGCGCCGCAGCGGCAGGTCGCCGGCGACGTGCGCCTCCAGCAGGTCGACGATCTCCGGCGCCTTGAGCCAGCGCGTCGCCGCCGCGGCCGCGACGTTTCTCGCGAAGTCGCCCGCGAAGTCGTCGGACGCCTCGCGCCGCGCGACGGCGACGCGGCAGGCCGATAACGAGCCTTCCCGCATTTCTCCGCCGTCGCTCGAGTCCTCGGAGTCGTCGTCGTCGAGGGGCGGAAACGCCTCGCCGCCGAGTCCCTCGAGCTCCGCCTCGAGGTCCGAGTCGTCGACGTCGTCGAGGCTCCGGCGCGCGGACCGGCCGACGTCGCGCACGAGCGCGCGGAGGCACTTGGCGACCTCGGCGCGGTCCTTGCGCGCCTTGGCGAGGTCCCGCGCCCGCTCGCGGTCCGCGCGCGCCCGGGCCTTGGCTTCCCGCGCCGCGCGCCGCTCCTCGAGCGTGCCGAGGCCGCCGTCGCGGAACGCGCCCGGCGACCGCGACGCGACGGCGGCCTCGCGCGCGGACCGCCGCGGCGGCGCGGCGAACTCGGAGTCGTCGCGGAAGACGTGCTTCTTGTACTTTTTTTTCGGCGGTTTTGTGGGTTTCGCGGCGGGCGCGCCAAAGCCGAGCGCCTCGAGCTTGGCCCGGTTCTCCGCGACCTTGCGCTCGCGCAGCAGCTCGTAGTCGCTGAGCTGGCGCGCCGGCGCGGGCGCGGGCGCGGGCTTGTTTTTCTTCGGCGCCGCGGGCAGCGGCAGCGCGTCGCCGGGCGCGACCGCGACGTCGTCCGTGTCCGGCGTCGGCAGACTCTCGCGGACCTCGTGCTCCTCCAAATCCTCCGCGTCGTCCGCGAGCTCGCCGCCGTCGTAGGCCACGCGGTAGAGCGCCGCGGGGGCGCCGCGCTCGTCGAAGAAGTCGCTCTCGGCGGCGGAGAGCCAGCCGACGACGACGCCCTCGACGCGCCGCAGGAAACCGTCCTCCGACGTCACCGTGCGGTAGACGCGCCGCCCGACGAAGTCGGAGCCGTCCGTGCGCCAGTCGACCGCCGCGGCACCGTCGGCAGCCTCGGGCGTCGTCGGCGCGTCCGAACCCTGGGCCGCCTCACCGGAGCCCGACGGCTCCGAAGCTGGCTCCTCCATCGACGATTGCTGCCGCGGAGCCGCTCGGTCGGAGAGCGCGCCGAGGTGAGGGCGGGGCAAAAGGCTTCATCCGGGCGCACCTCGCCGCGGAGGCCGCGGACCAGTCGAGCTACCTCAACCAGATTCTCACAAAGCTCTCGTCCCTCAGCCTGCAGGCGACCTGGTGCTTCCTCGCGCGCTGCGCGAGCGCGCGCATGGTCCACATCGCGCGCGCCGTCGACTGGAGGGCATGCCATGATGGTCTTCAATCGAGTATGAGGGGCTGCCCTTCGATCACCTGTTTGATACATTCATCCGGGTTAGAAATACGGGGGCTTATACGGTCCGGGTAAGCTTCCTGAGGTAAATGATATGGGAAAATCCCACCTCCACCCATATCCGAGTCGATCTCTTCGAGTACTCGGTGAGGCGTTCGGTGGCAGCGGGCAGATATGCGCACAATCGCAAGCAAGAGCAAATAAAGCAGAAAGACCCACCCCACACCAAAAAGCCATTCGATCCATTGCAAATTTTCACATTTCTTCACGCGCCAAAAAACAAACGAAAATGTCGCTACGGTATACTGTGTCCGGAGTCCCCCGGCCAACTTGAAGGCGCGCCGCGGCGACAGGTTCCCTCAAGGACCAGCGGTGACTGGACCTGTGAAGATTGTAAGAAAACAATCTGTCCATCGTGCTTCCAGGACGCGCCCAGGACTCGTGCAGGACGGCCGGACGCACTGTGGGACGCGCGCCCGGACGCGAAGCCGTCGCCGGTGCAACCTTGCTTCACCTTGAAGATTTTTGGGCCCCGGCCTTTCCATATTCGCAGATCGCCCCGTGCCAGATGTTGTCCGCAAAAGCAGCCCTCCGCACGGGCCGCGCGGCCGGCGTGCGCACGCTCGTGACGTCGTCGGACCTGCCCAACGGCGTGAACGCCGTGTCGACGGCCTTCAACGGCCCCGTGGCCTCGGTCGCCCTCTTCAGCGACCTCGGCACGCGCAGCGAGACGCCGGCGACGAACGGCGCCCTCGCCGTCGTCGCCCAGGCGCGCGCCGCCGCCGCGGGCGCCGCCGTCGCCAAACTCGGCGGCGCCGTCACCGGCGCGGCGACGCGCGACGGGAGCTCGCTCGTCGCGACGGTGCTCAAGGAGCACGCGCCCGCGGCGGCCGCCGCGCTCGCGGCCGCGGCCGCCGAGGCCCCGTCGGCCGCGGCCTTCGAGGCCGCCAAGGCGACCGTCCTCGCCGCCCAGGGCGGCATGGTCGAGGAGGTCCACGGCTGCGCCTACCTCGAGGCGCCCTACGGCCTCCCGGCGAACGGCACCGCCGCGTCGCTGGCGAACGTCACGCACACGGACGCCGCGGCCCTCCTCGCGGCGCCGACGGCCTACACGGCCGTCGGCGTCGGCTGCGACGACCTGGCCGCCTTCGGCGCGCTGCCGGCCGCGTCGGCGGGCCTCGTCGCCTTCGACGACTCCGCCGCGGCGATCTTCACGGGAAGCGACAAGAAGACGTCCTACGACGGCCTGCCCCTCGCGGAGCTCGCCGTCGCCTACGAGTTCCCCCTGCTCTCGTCCGAGTTCGGCGCGGCGGCGACGCTGCTGCCGTCCGTGCTCGGCGCGGGCGCGAACGCCGGCGGCGCGTCGCTGAAAGAACCCTACAACGCGCACGGCAAGCTCCTGTGCCGTTCAAATCTTCAACCCGACTTCGATGTGAGCGTATTCTTCGACACACGCTCTTTGGCTGTGCTTCGAGAACTCGACGAGAGCGATCGATTCGTCCGAGAATCAGCCGAATCGACGTCGACGTGACCGAGCTAGAGAGGTTTGAAGTTTTTGCTGGACGGGGCGTTCCACCGGTTGATTCGCACACAGGTAAGCTCGTCCGCGACCTCGCGGAGCAGGGCGCGGCGGCCTTCGTGGCGCCCTTCTACGCGCCCTACGCCGACACGGCCCTCTTCGGCGTCCACCTCGCCGCGCCGGACGTCCGCGTGGAAGACGCGGTCTGGTACACGATGAACAATTTGGTGCGCCTCTCCTTCGGCGTCACGGACGCGGAGCTCGCGCGCGCCAAGCTCGCCTACAAGGCCGAGCTCGGCGCGTCCATCGCCTCGCCGGCGGCCGTCGCGGCCATGCTCGGCGCGCACGTCAAGCTGCTCGGCGCGCCGCTCGCGCCGAACGAGCTCCTCGCGATGGTCGAGGACGTCGAGCTCGACGAGATCAAGGCCCTCGCCTACGAGCACCTCCACGACTGCGACCACGCCCTCGCCGCCGTCGGCCCCGTCCACGAGCTCCCGGACTACAACTACGTCCGCACGGCGTCCTACAACCACCACTCCTAGGTCGTCCAAGTCTACCGCGACCGCGACTCCCCCCCCCCGCCGCCGGCCCCGGCGCGCGCGCCGGCACGTTTATACACCTTAGACCCGCACGGGGCCGCCGCCGCCCTCGAGCTCGAAGTAGCCCGTCGGCACGAGGCCGGACACGCCCGCCGCGTTCCGGACCTCGCTCCAGCCGTCGTCCATGGTCTTGAGCACCTCGAGGCGCTCGCCGGGCACGAGCGCGAGCATCCAGTCGTCGCTGGCGGCGAACTCGAAGGTCGCCGTCGCGCGCCTGGCGACGGACACGCGCTCGAACGCGTCCGCGAGGGCGCCGACGGTCGGCGCCGGCGCCGGCGCGGGCGCGCGCTGCTGGAGGTCGTGGGCCTCCTGCCCGCCGCGCTGCACGCGGTCGTAGAGCGCCGCGAGGTCCAGGCCCGGCGCGCGGAGCGCGAGCGCCCGCCGCCCGGGCCCCGCGGGGTCGCCGAGCGCGTCGCGCGAGTCGAGGAGCCGCTGGAGCGCGCCGCGGAACGCGTCGACGGCCCCCGCGGGGTCGCCCCGCGCCAGGGCCGCGGCGCCCGCGTCGGCGCCGCGCTGCGCGTCGAGCGCCGCGGCGACGGCCGCGTCGTCCAGCGCCCGCAGCCGGCTCGCCTCCGCGGCGCGCGCGCGGCCCGCCTCCGCGGCGCGCGCGGCCTCCGCGGCCTCGGCCTCGAGGCGCAGCGAGTGGGCCCGCCGGTCCTCGGCGTCGTTGCGGAGCGCCGCGCCGATCTCGAGGGACTCGCGCTTCCGGAGGTCCTCGGCGACCTCGCCCGTCTTCGCGTGGATCGCCGACCGGGCCAAGTCCGCGTGGCGCCGCGGGTCCGTCGGCCGCCGGAGCTTGAGCTCGAGGGGCCGGTGCGCCGCGTCGAGGATTTTGGTGACGGCGCCGGCGTCGATGGGCGGCACGAGGACGCCGTTGACCTCGACGAGCTCGTCGCCGACCTGCACGCCCACGGAGCCCGCGCCCTCGTCGCGATCGAGCGTCCGCACGAGCACCGCGTGCCCGACGACGCAGCAGCCGAGCTTCAGCGGCTCGTCGCCGTAGACGCACCGGAGCTCCATCATTTGCAGGTTCGGCGACGGCGTGCGCAGGATCACGCCCGACCGGCCCGCGGCCCGCAGCAGGTCGCAGACCCAGCGGCCCCGGTCGCCGTCGTCCTCCGCCGCGAGCAGGCACAGCTGGTCCCGCTCGCCCGACGCCGCCACGCCGGCCAGGGACCGCCCGCCGCGCAGGACGTCGTCGTCGGAGCGGTAGACCGCGAACGCGAAGTCGCGGCCCGCCGCGCGATCCTTGCTCTCGGGGACGACGTACGCGCCCCAGAGCCCGAAGGACTTCTTCGTCCCCGCGAAGACGTCCCCGATCAGCGCGCCGCCGTTGCGGTCCGCGCCCCGCAGCCCGCCCTCCCAGGCGACGTCGCCGTAGGCCAGCGTCGACTGCGCGAGCACGAAGTGGCGCGCCTGCCACCGGCTCCCGAGCAACGTCCGCCCGCCGCCGAGGCCCGAGAGCTTCGCGAGCCGGCCGCCGCGCTGGACGCGGCCCGCGGCGGCGCGGGACCGGCCCGCCGACGCCGCGCCGCCGGCGACGCCGCCCGGCGGCATGGACACGACGGCCAGCGCCGCGTGGCCGTAGGGATTCGTCGCCTCGACGACCGCCGCCGGCGCCTCGCCGCCCATGGGCATGGACGCCGGCGGCGGCGGCGCCGGCGCCGGCGGCGGCGGCGGCGGCGCGTACTGGGGCCTCTGCGGCGGCGGCGGCGCGGCGAAGAGCGCGAAGTCCGCGTCGACCAGGGACGGAGCGGGTTTCGGCGGCAGCACGAGCGGCGGCGGCGGCGGCCGCGACGCGGGCGGCGCGCGCTGCTGCTCGAGGCACCACTCGGCCGCGCTCTCGACGTCGCGGCAGAGGGACGCGGCGCGGCAGGCGAGGTCGACGTCGAAGCCCATGGCGACCAGATCCCTCACGAGCGCGCACCACGCCTTCGCGGCCTCGGGATCCATGCCCGACGCCTCCGCGCGGAGCGCCAGGTCGCGGTCGAACCCCAGCGCCACCAGCGCCCGCACGAAGGCCGAGTCCACGGGCTCGCCGCCGTGGTCGAAGTACCAGCGCGCCGCGTCCCGCAGCGTCATGCCCGCCGCGCGCGCCGCGTCGACGTGGCGCTTCGCGACGTCGGGATCGGTCACGCCCGTGAACTGCATGAACTCGGCGTAGTCGTCGTCGCGCTTCCGCGGCGGCGGCGGCGGCTTCTTCTTCGGCGGCGGCGGCGCCGGCGCGGGCATGGGGCGGTCGAAGCGCATGGGCACCCGCTGGTCCACGCGGTAGAGGTTGTGCCACCCGCTCCGGTGCGCGTGGTGCGCGTCGTCCTCCTCGTCGTCGGCCATGGTGCTCGTGACGTTGCGCGCGCGGGTCTCTCGCGGCAGCGTCCGGGCGCGACGACGTGGGCTGGATGCCGGGGCGAGATGGCCGCGCGGATGCGAGGTCGGCCGATCACTGCGCGCGCAGGTGCCGCACAGCACGCACGGCCTAGCAGCCCGGGTCGACGCGATGGTCAGCTCTGAGGAGCGCTCGTTCGTCGACCAGATTCTCCACTATCACGCGTCGGGCGGCGACCTCGACGCGCTTGTTCGCGTGATAAACGACAGAAGTGGTGGTGTGCGCATCGAGGATGCGCCGCATGGATACACGCGCCTGTTTTATGCAGCGCGAAATGGCTGGTCTTCGGCCATAGCTTGGCTGCTGGAACAGGGCGCCGACGTCCACTTGGGTCAATCATTGACCGGTCAGACGACGCTGCAGGTTGCCGCTATTCGCGGCCATTACAACGCGGCAGTCCTGCTGCTCGACGCGGGCGCGCGACTCTACCATCCCAACTCGACTGGCTGGACTGCGCTCCACTTCGCAGCCGCGGACAATCGCTTCAAGATGTGCAAGCTTCTGCTGAGTCGCGGCGCGTCGCTCGACGCGCGCAGTACCAAGGGCCGAGACCCCGAGGCCCACGCGCGATTCCACGGCCACCCGACCCTGGCCGACTTCCTCGCCGCCGTCCGCGCCGCGGGCGGCTGGACGGCCCACGTGGCCGCTCGGCGCGCCGACCGCGCCGAGCTCCTCGCTTTCCGCCGGGCTTTGCCGACGCTCCGCCGCATCGGCCCCTGCGCGCCGCGCGCGCAAGCGCGGCTCTTCCTCGACGCGAAGGTCCCCGACGACGTCTTCGTCCTCGTTCTCCAGTTCTGGCGCAGCGAGCGCGACTACTAAATAACGGGTGACCCCAGCGACCTAGGCCGTCGCGCCCCCGAAGGCGCCCTTGACCGCGAGCTGCGTCGCCGCCAGAACCACGCCCATGCTGTTGGGGACCCAGACGAAGGGGTCCGCGATGGTGAGCCCGTAGGTGACCCAGAGCAGGCCGTTGGCGCCGTTGAGCGCGCAGAGCGGCGCGAAGATGGACGCCGCGTCCTTCGTCGCCAGCACCTCCGCGAGCGTCGATAGAGGCGCGCCGTAGTAGATGACCAAGATGACGTTCGCCACGTAGCCCGCGACGAGCTGCTTCTGCTTCGGCGACGTCAGGTAGAGGCTCGTGACGAAGGACGCCGCGACGTGGACCGCGGCGAAGCCCACGGCGACCTTCTCCATCGCCGCGACCTGCGCGGGCGATCCGAGCGACGCGCCCGTGAGCGTGAAGAAGAGGCCCAGGAGGCAGCCCGGCGCGTTGGACCAATAGATATACGGATTGCCGTTCAGGTAGCCATAATGGAGCCAGGCGAGGCAGTTCACGAGGATGAAGGCCCAGGGCGTCGGGTTCAGGCTCCCGAGGTCGCCCGCCCGTCGCGCGGCGAGCACCGCGGGCAGGCTCGCGAGGAACATGGCGTTGGCCACAACCGTGCCGACCGTCGGCGCGATGGTCGTCGCGAAGGCCTCGGCGAGGGTGCCGCCGCCGCGGAGGCGCGCCGCCACCGCCGCGGCGTCGCCGCGCCAGGCGCCCGCGTCGTCCTGCTTCGGGCGCGGCAGCGCGGCGCCGCGGCCGCTGGTGTGCTGGCGGCGCGCGTCGCCGAGGGCGGCGGCCGACAGCGTCCACGCCAGCAGCATGGCAGCGATGCGATGGAGAGCCATGGCGGGCAGCGAGCAGCCCGTGAGAGCACGAGAATGTTAACAAGAAACGACCATGTTGCAGTTTTGTTTGCCGTTCAATGTGGCCATCCGCAGGGAATCTACCCTTTTTTTACAGGAGGATGTCGCCCTCGGTGGGCGAGGCCTTCGGGACGAGGGCGACGTCGGACAGGTCCGCGGACTTGTCCGCGGTGAGCTCGACGTCGCGCGGCGGCGCGGACGCGAGTCTGTGGTGCGACGGCGCGTAGCCCGGCGGGCGGTCGTCGTCGTCGTCCAGGTCGTCGCCGCCGCGCTCGCCGTCGAGGATCGGGTTGGCGATGTCCGGCACGGGCGTGAAGAGGGGCTTGCCCGCGAGCTCGCGCTTGATGATGAAGTAGAGCGCGGCGCCGAGCCCGAGGGCGACGACGCCCGCGACGACGACGCCGCCGAGCGCGGCCGTCGACAGGATCTCCTCCGTCGAGTCCTCGCCCCGCGCCCAGGTCGGCGCCGCCGTCGACGGCGCGGAGCTCACGGGCGACGCCGTCGGCCGCGCGTAGGGCGCCGCCGTCGGCGGCGCCGTCGCGTTGGCGACGAAGAATTCGACGGCCGCGTGCGCGGCCCCGAGCGTCTCCGCGCTCGAGAAGTCCTCGCAGTGGTGCGCGACCTCCACCGTCGTCCGCGCCGCGGGCCAGTCCGGCGGCAGCGTGCACCGCAGCTCGGTCTCGTCGACGAAGAACGCCGCGACGACGGCCGACCGGTCGCCCGCGCGGAACTCGCACTTGCCGTCCGTCGTCGCCACGAAGGTGCCGCGGACGTCGACGTCGTTGCCCGGCATGACCACGGGGTCGCCGCGGCCCGGCGCGACGGCCGCGGGCACGGCGACGGGCGTGCACTTGCCGAAGTCGTGCGCGAGCGTGTGCGCCCAGGCCTCGAAGTACTCGTTCGCGCCCGACGGCGCGCAGCGGAACCGGTTCCGCGACGCGTCGAGCTCGTAGACGAAGTAGTGGCTGTCCGCGACGAGGTCGTAGAAGACCGTCGGCAGCGGCCCGCAGAACTCGTTGTCGTCGAGGAGGAGCGCGGACGTGACGCCGTGGTCCTGGCCCGCCGCGAAGTCGTCGAACTGCGCGTCGATGGTGCCCGTGAAGCGGTTGTGGGAGAGGTCCACGAGGCGCAGCATGGGGTTGGGCACGTGGGGCACGGGGCCCGAGAGCTCGTTCCAGCCCAGGTCGAGCTCGTAGAGCTTGGGCAACCCCGCGAGCGTCGCTTCCTCCAAAGGCCCCGTCAGGAAGTTGCGGCTCAGGTCGAGCTTGCCGAGGGCCGTCAGGTTCCGCACGTGGCCGACGCCGCCCTTGATGCCCGACTGGCTCAGGTAGAGCACGGAGAGCGCGCTCTCGCCGGCCGCGGACGCGGGGATCACCGCGTCGAGGTCGTTCGAGCCGAGGTCCAACACCTGGAGCGCGGGGCTCCGGAAGAAGCAGTCGGGGATGGCGCCCTCGAGGAAGTTGCGGCCCGCGGCGAAGATCTGCACCGTGTCGGGCACGCAGGCGAGCGACCCGGAGAAGAAGTTGTTCCCGACGCGCACGTCCTCGAGCGCGTCCAACGCCGACAAGTCGGGCAGCGACCCGTTGAGGCGGTTGTTGTCGAGCTCGAGCGTCTCGAGCTTCGTCAAATTCGCGAGGGACGCCGGCAGCGGGCCCCGCAGCCCGTAGGTCTCGAGGTCCAGGCCCGTGACGCGGCCGTCGGCGTCGCACACCACCCCCGGGATCTCCGTGCAGTCGTCGACGCCGTCGAGGTCGTCCAGGGTCATGTCGGGCCACCAGTCGCAGTAGGGCTTGGCGCGCGAGTCGCGCTCGCCCCGCGCGTCGCCGTCCTCGCTGATGTACTCGTCCCAGGACCAGTCGGCGGGGTAGTGCGAGTAGGGCTCGCAGCTGGTCCGGTAGAGAGCCTTGACGACACCGAGGTCGCCGCGGTCGAGGGCCGACTCCTCGAGGAAGAGCGTCGGCCGGTAGGTGACGCGCATGGCCTCCTTGTTCGCGAAGGTCGAGATGCCGACCCAGAGCACGTCGAAGACCTCCCGTAAATCCGTGTCCGCGTCGCACGCCGCGCACTCGTCCTCGACGCCGTCGTCGTCGTAGTACTGGCAGAAGCCGTAGCAGTGGTAGTAGTCGAAGTTCTCGGCATGCTCGACGAAGGACACGTCGTCGACGTTCAGCAGCGGCCAGTAGTACCAGTCGAAGTACGTCTCCGGCGCCTGGCCCTCGAAGCGCGGGTACGCCATGAAGCTGAAGGCCGCGAGGGGCGTCTCGTCGTGCTTGCTGTCGACGGACCACTCCCATTTCAGCTGGGGCAGCGCCCCCGTCGCCGACGCCTCCGAGAAGCCCGGGATGGCGAGGAACGCGTGCTTGCCCTGCGCGACCTCGACGGTGACGGGGCAGCCGCTGACGACGACGAGCGGGTTGCCCATGGACCCCGGGTGGGACCCGCCCTCGATGTCGTCGTCGTCGGCGACGACGTAGACGTCGCCGGGGTCGCAGGTGACGATCTCGCCCTGGAGCCGGCGGCGGTGGGGCTGCCCGCGGTGCGGCTGCGCACCGGGGTGCGCCGCCCTGTGGGGCAGCTCCCGACCCTCGCCGGTGATCGCGGCGCGCCGCGCCGCGTGCGGCGATTTGGGCCAGCTCGCCGACGCGGCGCGTACGCAGGCGGCGGCCACAAAACCACGCAGCATCGTTCAACACCTTTTCCTTCGAATGGTCAAGATCTGTGCAAGAACATCCTGAGAAGCCCCGCTCTCGTACGCTCCGCATCTCGGGCCACACACCGAGAGCTCGAGTTCCTGGCGTGTGCGCGCCGACCGCGCGCGGGCATGGACGTGGACGCGCCGCTCGGCACCACACCGGCGGCGATCGCTCCGGCGGCCGCCGGCGACGCGCCTGGCAGCGACGCTGCCCCGGCCGCCGGCGGCGGCGCGGGCAGCCCGGCGCCGGCCCCCGCCCCGGCGCCGGCCGCCCCCGACGGG